TGGGCAGGCCCAAGGTACCATCCTTTCGCGCCCTTGGGTTGCGACTTTGCCTTTCTTCTCGATTTGAACACGAGAGGTTTGAGGAACGGGTGTGTAGACCCGACCGGCGGCGGCGTACCGTGGAACAGCTCGTACGGTGATTTGTGTCCAGGGTTGCCGGTAGTGGCGGTGCAGTTCATCTGGTGGCACGCACAAGAAATGGCCTCGGCCCACAAGCCGGGGCTGACTGGTGCGTCGGGGAACATCTCTTTCGCTTGGATGCGGGAGGCAAGCGCAGAATCAGCAAGCAACCCCAACGCTCGTTCCGCTACACCGTTGTACTTGGGGGTGTTGGGGGGCGTGAATTCTTGCTTGATGCCGTATCTACGGCAGACCTCCGCAAACTGGCCCTGGAATTCTCCGCCGCCGTCAGTACGTGCGACAAACACCTCACACGGGACGGTTTCTGCTCTGTAGTCCGCCAGATATCGCTCGAACGCGGCAGCGGCGTCAGACTTGTGCCTCAGAAAGAAAACACGTGTCCAGCGGGTGCAATCATCTCGGATGATGAGGGTGTACCAGTTGCCACCAATGCTTTCGAACTGCAACCTCCCCCCCAAATCGAGAAGAGACGGAACAATTTCTTAGCTGCGCGTGTGTCCGTGCTCTTTGAAATGGGTTTCACCTGCCCCTTGGACATCGAACAGCCGAGACATGGTAGCAGCGGTCCTCCCGTCAGCTGCACTCCTTGCTGTTTCGCCGTTTTCTGAAGCAGTTCCTCGTGCGTGTGGCCGTGCGAATTGTGGTAGTAGTTGAGGTCAGTAGGGGTGGCTGCTTTCGGATCTCCAGGAACATTTGTTGCGGCACAGGCGATGTCTACCTTCGGCTCGATTTGATAGCCTTCTTGAGTTAGCAGCTTACCCGTCCGGGGGAACCACACCTTCCCCCCGGCTCTTGTAGTGAGAGTCAGCCCCCCCTTCTGGCAGGAATACGTGTGGCCTTCCTCCGCCAACGCCGACAGTGATAGAAGGTTGTGGGGGGACTCGGGCACATGGGCGGCGTTCAGGAGTAGCACTGGTACCCTACCGCCTTCGGTCAGAAAGACTACGGTCACGTCTCCGTACCCTAGGAGAGGAACGGGGGCCTTGTTGCCTCCGATCCCCTTGACCCAACCACTACACTCGCG